GGGGGGGGGGGGGGGGGGTTAAAAATCTATCAAAATACCGTTATGAGATTCATGATTGGCACATATCTATTATCTAGGAATACAAACTGAGACATCATGACCTCAACATTCAAAAAAAAAATATAAAAAAATATAAATAATATGATGTTCTTGCTATTTCAGAAGCAAACTTCTGAATTATATTTTTGTTACATCCAACTCTTCTTTGTACTCGTTCTTTCCATGATATTGTGGATAAACCAACCAATTGAGCTTGAGACATGGCAGATCGAAGCTCTCTTTTAAGAGTTTGAGCTTCGATCAGCTTCTATGAGCACTGACAACAGTCATTGGGAGTGTTAGTGTTAGCAAAATTCGTACTGCCACATGTATATAGGCCTACACTACTGCTTGAATGTGTCGCCCCCTAAAAAGAGCCGCAATAGGCAGCCACCTATACCTAAAGTCGACTTTTCTGCATGCAGATTAAAAGACAAAAACTATCAGTACAGAAGGAAATTTGTATTTTATTAAGACAAACATATAAATAACGGATTAGCTTTATTTAAGGGCGATCAAAAGTCCCGTACAAACGGGATTGTCACGATCGTACCCGTTGTCCCGAAAAAGTCTCTCGGGGCGCCTAAATGTCCCGTTTTTTAAAAACTAAACACATTTTCAAATCACTAAAACTTCCTAATTTATAACTTAACTTCAAATAATATCTAATTTTGGCTAGCTGTGTAGCCAGTGCCAGTAGTGATGTGGGCTCGCGTGATGGTTGCACCATTCCCTCTCCACCAGTGTCCCTGCCATAGATCTTATACCGGTATGTAAATGTATAGCGAAAGACACGAGACTTTGAAGCCGCAGTTGTTGTTTTTTTTTTTTTTTTTTTTTTTTTTTTTTTTTTTTTGGGTGGGGGGGGGATGTAACTGTGCAGAAAACAATTTTGATTCCACGACCGCTACGTGTGGATTTTTTCATTATCCAGTCAATGGCAAGGATATTTAGAAATGGGTACAAGAGGCATCATTGTCTGACTCCTGTTTCGACTGTAACACAGACAAAAAGAGGAATGGGATACAGTGGACACTCTGCGAACAACTGAATGATTTAGACTTTGCAGACCACATTGCACTACTGTCCCACAACCAGCAACAAATGCAGGAAAAGACAAAAGACGTAGCGACCAGTTCAGCACAGCTTGGACTCAATATAAATAAAAGCAAGACAAAAATCAGGAAGGTAAACTCATCCAAACAAGAGGATATCTGTTTTGCAGGAAAGGCTCTTTTGATGTGAAGATGCGACTCTCCAGTTCCATTCACAAATATTAATAATTATATTGACATTAAAATGTTAGTGGCTCTTTAAAAAAACTGGGAAATTTTGTAAATTGTAACTTTTGGCTCTTCCGTCTCAAAAGGTTGCCGACCCTTGTGTTAGTCTTATGTGTGATCCCTACCGGCCTGTTCTTATCAGAGTGACATGTGTTTGTTTTGGGTGTTTAACTTTATTATTTAATTTTATATTATCTTCTCATGTAGACAAGAATTATGCCCAAGCGTCAATGTAACGGATGAGTATTCCAAAGAGTGGAACTATATTAAAAAGGGACGTTATGAAAGGGAAATATAAAATGAACATATTTAAAAAAAAAAAAAAAAACACTTCCCCACCGCGAGGCCCCCGGACTCCTCTTTAACTGGAGGATATTTCCCCGCCCGCCACAAAAAAACAACAAAAAAAACAACAACTCAAAACAACCGTCCTTGAAAGCGTCCCGTCTTTTCCAAATCACGATTTGGTCACCCTAGCTTAATTACAAATGGGGCTGAAAATTTAAAACAACGCGGGAAGCTCGAGATTCCGTGAGAGTTAGCGAGACTACTCCCGAGAAACATGGTGGCTTATGTTGTTGTCAAGTGAAGCTACTTTGCTATGCTTGATTCATACAGAACGAAAAACACGCTTTTTACATGAAACTCGAACTCGATTTCTTACCTATAGGTTGGCCGCTTACTATATGTTAAAAGTGATGACTTAATGAGGGCTGAAAGTGCCCATTTGTATAGAAACACAAAATGTCGGCTGTAAAAATGCTTTCAGACGACTTGGCTGAACTGAACTTGGATCGAGTGGATAAAGAAATATCCACACAACTCAAGGTAAATGATTTACGAATGCATTGCCTTCTCCCGATCCCGTGGGCTTTAAAATCTTTTACATGTAAATTATATAATATTTTAATTAAAAGTAACTTTAAAGAAAAAAAATTATATAGGTTCGAAGAAGGGGTGTCGAACTAAACTAATTTCATTCTCATTCATAATCAGAAAATGAAAAGTATAATTTATTTTATGTCTTTGACTTAGGCATGGACCTAATTAAGCTAAACGAAAAAAGTGTCTAGTTTAGCAGTGATACTTTGTAGTAGTAGTAGGACCAAATATTAGTAAAACCTATGTTATAGACTTAAACATAGGAATGGGATCAGCTGTGCATGGCATAACTTATTTTTTTATATTTTGAATATAACAACATGACTTAAAGTGTAAAGACATTAAGGGCCCGGAGGAGGACTACTTTCATAAGTAGCCCTAAATATATTTAAGGCCTTATCACATAGATAAACTAAATAATAAAATTTTAAGGGTAATCTCTAATATTTTTTTAAGGGGCCAATCTTCATCTTCTCTGACTATTCTAAAACTTTGTTTTTGTTCTGTTTGCATTTTTAAGGGGTCTGCCTTCAATCTTAAACTAAAAAAAATGATTTTAACAAAGTTATTCAGCTTCTAGAAAAAGGGCCATCCTAAATGCATGAATGCCTCAAATAAAATAATGAAGGATCACACTTAATAACAAAATAAAACTTTCCTTGTTTTATATGATATGAAAATAATTTAATCCCTTTAATTTGGTCTCATGTTTAACACAGACACCCACAAAAGCATAGCTTTCAGATTTTTTTCTATGATTTATAATTAATTAGGATATTTTTTATCATATATCTTGGTTCTTTCTTTTTGATTATTGAATAGAATTGCACAAATTGTTATGTTTTAAAATAAATAATTTCTTGATGCCATTTAATGTGTTGTAGTTTTAAAAAGAGAGACATCCCAAAGACAGAAATGTCATTTACTTGATACAAATATTGGGTCCAGCTGATTATTGTCGTTTGTAATAAGATACATTTTAACTTTTAGGGCTATAAAAAAAGTTCTAATGCATGTTCTACATAGCCCCTAATTGCATTTTTTCCAGAGAAGTTGTAGCTCATTTGTACGTTTGCATGAGGATATTTAAAAAAAAATTGTATGCAAAACAACAATGTGAGCGGGGTATGAACATTTTAAATATGTAACATAATAAGACAGCAATCATGCCAATATAGTCACAATATCTGGATGAGGGTTGTTCAGGTGGTTGGTTAACTTGCGAGGAAAGGAAACATCATGACCTCATATTTAGTAAGATGATTGGTAAGCTCATTATTACTCGAAGCAAAAAAATCTGATGCTTATGTTCAAAGTTCAATCTTTTAATCAATACCAGTTAATATTTAGGGTAAACTGCTTTTGTTTTAATTATAATAGATATGCTATCGATTATCAGGTTTTTACAATAAAATGCCTCCTGGTAACAAATAGTCCAAAATATTGAATTTTTACTGTACATTTTGTTTGGGCAATTTTGTTTGTCACTCTGATGGTGGTCACCACTGTAAAAATCTTTAAAGGGAAGCAAGATACAGGGAAATTGTCTCCCCTTATTGTGCGATTAAAAAGAAAAAA